AAAATCGATAGTGAAGCCCAAATATATGCTAAGTAGGCTGTTAATTAGAATAATGCTGCATAATAAACTACTTAAACTAATTTTTGATTTCAAATAATTTTTTTTAATAAAATTTCAGATTTTGAACAAAAGGTGCACTTGGCATGAAATAGAGAATAGTGTTAAAATTGTTAATAATAGTTGATGTGCTTTGCATGTTTGTGTTTCGTCACTATATCAGTTTTTGTAATATCAACATTATAGAGCTGCTTTCGATACTTCGATTTTGCACTTAATCTATTTGTACCACGCCGATCTCGGAAACTAATACATGTACGTCATTGAAACCTACATATACCAGAGAAAGAGAGCATTTTCAAAAATTTGCTGCTTAACATAACTGTGCACTTCGCCATCGAAGTGTAATATTAATATGCATGCATGTAATATGTGTGTACAGACAATAACAAGTGCTTATAACAATATTATAAACTTCAATTTTTGTTTAATTACTTCATTGTTTCAATTTGATTAGTTATGATTTCTCCTTTTACATACAACATTCATTTAATTAGAGATACGCGTACGTATCTCTTACTTATAGATATACAAATATGTGCGTAGCTCATAGTTATGACATAGGTTACAATAGTTAAAATAGTTATAGTACAGGAAAATCTTTGTATTTTTTTCTTCTTTGGACTTCGAATCAGCATTTTTAAAAATAAATCGTATAATACGAGTAATTATTGTAAATTTCAAAATATTTGAAAATTTTCTATAGAAGATTCTCCCATTCAATATCGTTTTTGATTTTATTTTCAAAAATGCAATGAATTTTAATTAAAGTTGAATGCTCCTATTAAAAAAAAACAAAATACAAATTTTATGTGCCATAATTGAACTATTTTATAGATTCCTGTATACATACACATATATGTATGTGTATTGTGTTTTACGAGTATTGAATTGTTTTCAATAAAATTTTTTATTGAAATTGATTTATTTGATATTTACAAAATATATACACGAGCATGTAGTTATAATTAAGAAAAGAAATTAGTTTAAGCTATGCATCCTGATAGGCGTATTGTTTATTTATTGAATAAATTTAATCGAACAATATTGTATTTAGGAGTTCTTTTTTTTGGGTAATTTCAATTTATTGTTAGAGAATTCGGACTAACAATAATACTCTTATTTGATTACAAAAATCATTTCTATTGAATAGTTTTAAATTAAATTCTTTCCATTAATGTTGCTGTTATATTCATATAGAAGACGAGTTCAGCAAAATTATTAGAATGGTTTATAAAAACTGCTTGCGTGTATAGTTTATAATTTTAATATCTGATGCAGTAGAAACTGTGTTAGGCAATATTGAATGTGTCGTTTAGTTAAATTACAAAAGATGATCCCTAGTACCTCTTTAGATCTCTGGCGTTCTGCATTATTTAAATAATTTAAAATGGAAGAATTACTGGTATTAAATTAAAAAATATTATTACAAATGCTGTTAAGCTATAATTCTAATAGACTAAAATAAACATTTATAAAAAAAATTAATAATCTTAAAAATAAAACAAAAATTCTGCTAATACCTGAATAAATAAAACTTCAATAAAAATCTATATCAATTTTAAGTTGTTTTTCCGTTTTTCTATTACATTCATGTCATAATTCATTTTGGAATCCGATCAAATTCAACATCAATATTTTCTGGCAATCATAAAAAAATTATAAAATACAGTATTAATATTTGATTGTATCCTTCCTGAATGTCCATTAATATTTTTTGTTTTCCGTATATTTTACATAATATTAACAACCATATTGTTTTTATACTCGTACGAATGTATGTTGAAAAAGTATGATACATTTGCCCTACCATGTGTAATGTTAAGGAATAATGGTCTGAGATATAGATTCAAGTAAATTATGTTTTTGATCAGCGTAATAATGGTTTCAGATATAGACTCAAGTATAAGTTTTTGATAAGTATGAGCGTCGAATTCCGAGTGCTACTGAGCTAAGTTTTCTAAATTTTCATAAATGATTTATCATTGCAAATGCCAGAACCTTATTTAAAGAGGATATGATCGAGTTTCACTTTCTGGTAGCTACCATAAATTTATATGGCTGTATCTCAGAAACTTTAGAAGCTGTAGCATTGAAATTTCGCACAAGCCAATATAATATTAAGGCTTTTTTGTTTGATAAAAGTCGTTGAAAGTTTCTCGAGTGTTTATGATAGCTGTCATACAACTTTTCAAACTGTTTGTTTGGAACTCAGAAACTATTGAAGCTAATGAAATGTTGAACAAATTAACTTGGTGATTTGGCTACCATTTTCAGTAACACTCTTTTATGTTCTCTATGGATTTATATAAAAATCTGCGCTAGACCCATAAACAGCAAGAGGTTGTATGAAACTGTACGTCATTTATCTCCCATATTTAAAATCAATAATTCGTACGGGTATCACAAAGTTGACACGGTCAACTGTATCTGTTCTCGTTTTCATTTTATTTTATTGTATTTACTTGAATTTAATATTAAACTATATAGATCCTGAAAATATCAAATTTTTTTTTGTCATTTATTTGAATACGTAATGTAATATTCGGTAAAATAATTCGTTCTCATTGCTTTCTTGTATATTTTTTGTTTTTTTATTATTTTAACCATTATGATTATTCTACATTTTATTTTTAGTTCCTGATTTATAATGATTTCTGACCTATATAACGAAAATCCGTAGGAGTAAGAGTAACTTTTTTTAGAAATAAAAAAAAATTATCATCGCAATTTCATTTGAAAACCATATTGAAATATATACCGTTTTCTGAATTATTAAAAAGGATATTAACATATTATTCAGAATATGGAAAATATTTTTTTGTTTTCCTTTTATCGTTTTTTTATGTGAGGATGAAATTTATGAAATCCCTTTAAGTCATCACAAGAATTTGTTTTTTTGTTTTGTAGTTTTTAGCACTTTTCCAAAAAATTTTTTGAAAAAAGTGCTTATTAGTTTCACTCTGTCCGTCCGTCCGTCCGTCCGTCTGTCCGTCCGTGGACACTTTTTTTGTTTACAAAACTTCTACATCCTTGAAGATAGAAAGCTAAAATTTCACACGTACATAGATCTTCACTAGAAACTTATTTCCGTAGAACAAAATTTTTACCTATCTCCCCCCTTCTAGAAGTTATACCCCCCCAAAACCCTAAAAATGACCTTTTTTAAATATTTGTTGCAATGAAACCATAAGCATTTTTGAAATTTTGCAAACGCAGAAAGGCAGTGACTTGCTTCCCCTTGCGCGGTATACTATAGTTTAACTTAAGAAAAACAAAATGGCCGTTCAAATTTACCGTTATTTAAAGTCCTTTTTTTCCAAATTTTTGATGTCGTTTTTCTTCTAGACCCCAGACTGTAGAAGCTTGAAATTTTAGGAGCTTTTACATATTAATAAATAGTTCATTTTGTTAGAAGAAAATTTTTTTCTATCTCCACCCCCTCTCAAGTTATCATCTCTTGAAATTCGTAAAATTTGAATTTTTGATACCTTATATTTCCGAAACCGCAAGCTTTTCCAAATTTTTATAAACGCAAAAAGCTAACGGTAAATTCTGTGAAATTAGAAAATATAATTATTTTTCTTAACACACACAATTAACCCTTAAAATCGAGCATTATGTTAACCCCTTTTTATATTAATTTTTGCTTTATTTCAAAGACTGCATATATGCGTCATCCTAAATATATGCAATCCTATAAATAGTTTTGTATATGAATGAAAATAATTTTAATAGTGTGATAGCTATACATAGACTGTATTTAAAAGCAGAATTTTCACTTGTTGAAGGGAAAAGTGCTACAATACAAACCATTGGTTTGACCCAACTTTATTTATTCTTGTTCTCTTGTGGAATCAGATGTGTATAAAATCAAAATTCACATCGTATCAGGTATAACCACAATTTTTATAATATAATAAAAAAGTATGTAGATGTCTACTTTGAAATGCATAATATTATTTTTTGTCTCAAATATTATAACTCACGTTTCAAACACATGTACAGTTCAGAAACCGTTAAATTTAGATAATTGGAATTCTTGGAGCCATATGAAATAATCAGTTTTCCACTAAATTTAAACAAAAACTAAAGTGTTAAATGCGTCTGCAACCCCAATAAAAAAATCAAAACTTGTTTATTACAGAACTATGTTTAAATGAAGAGTTGATTATTTTCCAGAGCTGCTCCGGGAAAAACACTGAGAAGACAAAATGAACAGCGAGATATACTGCTTTGATGCCAAGATTTTGTTTAATTTTCATTATCTACTTATTAGACACAGCTTTTAACACGAAAGATTCAAATCAATTTTTTTAATCCGACCACAAATATTTTAACGATTCTTATACAAGGACTTTATCTTATTCTCTTGTCTTATTGTAATGTCCAGCAAGGATTGATTAAATGGTGATGAGCCCATTGGTTTTCGAGCTTCATGATCCTCTTCTCCATTAAGACACAAAAAAAAAATTCGTCCGAATATTAGCTGAGAGAGCTTATACAGGAATTCTACAATATACAGTACAGCGGTTACCTAAAATTGATCTGACGTTAACGTAACAAGATGCAATTTTTCAATTCAAGAAAGTGTGGCGTAATAAAATTTTCCAACTGTTACTCACAGTTAAAATTTTGGACTAGGAGATGGAAGATTGAAAGCTTGCTACACTCAAGACCCTAAGATACACCGAATTTAGTCCATTTTTGATTCCGCAAGTAAACATCATCACTATATGGGTGATAATCATTACTACTTATATTGAAAAGAACAAAAAACGGGTTAATTACTTTCAGAACATTATATTGGTAAAAGTTTGCTATAATTTTTATAACATGTTATTTATAATATATTTATACCATATCTAGCATAATATTATCTATAATTATTTACAGAGTATAAGTTAAAACTTTCAAATATTTACTGTATAATGTGTACTTACCCAGTCCATAAAACAAATTCAACATTATCACCCTGCCTTGATTTCATGGCAACTGTAGCTGATTCAAGTAAACTCCATGGGCTATCACAAAGATAGTCACCATAACGACCTGGTCGTGTATAGGCAAGTGAACTTGTTTGACGTGAATCTATTTTCCAACAACCTGTCAAAATAAAAAAAAAATTTATGATTAGTTTATAATAACAAAAAATTTCGTTCAATAGAGTTCTAAGGCATGTAATTTTTACTTAATGTTAAGTAAATTAACTGAACCATGCAGAACAAAATATTTAATCTGAAGACTTCAATGGTTCTTCATATTATTTAAATTTGAAATTCCATACGATATTATATAGGTTACACTAATATGAAGCACTTTAACCAGATGACAGTGCGGACACTGGAAAATTCTTTAGCCTCTCCATTCTTTATTTCAAATTTAATATCCGAAATTTTAAACTTTATTTTAATTTAAGCTCAGCACTCTGAGCTTAGCTAATTAAAATGAAATCGATAATATAAAATTAAAAAAAATAAATTCATTTATAAATGCAAAAATAAAAAATTTTTATAATTCAATTATTTCTAATAAAATTATATTTTATAATTAATTATTATATACATACATATCTATGTTTTATACATAATCCATTATCATATACAATTGTTTAATTGTATGATTTATTCAATATTAAGTGCTTATATAGAGCTTTTTAGAATAAAAAGAATTTTTAAATTCATTTTGACACTCTCAGATAATATCGTATGTGATATAACTGTAAATCATATTTAAAATATGACTGCTCAAATAATTTTATAAAATAAATTTCATTTTATTATTGCAGTTTTCTTTTAAAAGAAAATCCCATTTGATTTATCTTGCGTTTTATAAATGTGTGTACCATTTTGGAAGAAATATTTTTCAAAATGTCTAATATTATTTTTGTATAACAATAGCCATTTTGTATATATGCATAAATTTTGTGTACTGCATAAAATTACAATAATAATATATACAGTTATTTTTCTATATAAAAAATAGTATAAGTGAAACTGATAACCTCTTAAATATGAATATTATCCTCTCTCTCTAGAGAGATTGACAGAAAAGTAAACTGATAGTAAAATGTACTCGTATACATTAAAATTAAAATGTCAGTCAATATTTTATATTTTTGAAAAATTATTTCTGTACTTAATTCCTTTTAAAGGACTCAAATTTTGTATACATACATACATAGCAATATTATATAATTTAGAATAAGGAAATTAAATGCTATAGGGGATTTATTTAAATTTTTATAGAAATAAATCTAAAATAAGTGATTCTTAATTTATTTGTTTTTTAATACAAACATTTAGAATGTGTACATATAGTGAGTGCGTATGTGTTATGTATACATAATTATAATTAATGTAGAATACTTTGAATTATACTATAAATGAAATTTTATAATCTTTTGATTTAAAGTTTGTTACTATTATTTTTTTTTTAATATTTTCAGATATTTTTGAACTAAATCAAGCCAAGTGATGCATTTTTATATGGAAATTTTATTTTTAAATTAGTTTTGGACAAATGAAGTAGTTTCTTTGTTTTTATCTTTCTCATATGCAAAAACATACAGTTGACTCTAGGTAATAGAAATTTTATCACACCGAAGTTTTTATTTTAGTTTTTACTTGTATTTATAGCTTCAGTAACTTAGTATGTAACTTTAACTCAACGGCATAAGAATATTGTTAAGACGGTTGTAAAAGCAAAAAATTATAAAAGTGTTACAAATATATGGTATTGAAGAATATTTCGTGAAATATAAAGGAAGAGTTGACAAAACAGTTCCACTTGCTAAATACAATGAAAATTTACCTATAGAAGGTGAAATTGTTGGAAGATTTAAAAGATTTGGAAAATAATTCATCTAAGGCACGTTTCCCTCTTATCCAGAAGTCTGATTTTCTTGATTCAACTGTATTTACGCATAATGAACGTAATATTATAATAAGTTTTACTAATTTAAATTGTAGTTAACATTGTTACTCACAGGAATTTGTTGTATTAGACATGGACTTTCGATTTATTTCTTAAATATTTTATATTCGTTTTCTTATACGAACTTTATGTATAAAAGAATCTATTGTAAATAAAGTTGTAAATCTATATACCTACATTAGGGGCACCAAATACCATATTGAAATTTAAAAATAAATAATTTTCTTAATTATACAGAATATTTCATACAGTGGTGCATTCACATATACCAGCATTCAGATTTTCATATGTGAGGAAAAAAAAATTGTTTCATCTCTCTCTCTCTCGGAACCAGTTTAAAAGCTACGGGCTGTTCGAAAGAGAAATAATTTTTATTTTTCTGACGCTATCGAAAATGAGTAGCAATTTGAGCTGCGAATAAGATTTAACGGTAATTTTACACGAATAGACGCATAAAATTAGCTATAGAAAAATTCAATTTACCTAAACGTGTGCAATTTCGTGTCAATACTTAGAATTAATAAAAAGGAGAGATTATTGTCAAATTTCTAAAATTCTTAAATGAAATTATGCAATTAATTAAGTTAAAAATTTGTGTTTTTTATTCACTTTTGTTTATATTTTTTTTTTTTTTGTTCAAAAGACAACTCTCAAAATATGAAAATTCCGAACGATAATAAATTTCAGATATTTTTGGAAACGCAAAATTCTTAAATTTCAAAATTGATTTTGTATTTCATTTGTGTATGTATCGTATTTTATGTACGCACATAATTATTGTGTGTGTGCATGTATGAATGTGGTATTAAAATATTATACTTTCTGAATGTCACATCAATTTTATTATATTTTATAAATTTACATATAAAATCCATTAATATTTTGTTAACGATATTGTGTGTCTATATATACGATATACGTAGTAAGATAACTACGATTTTATATAACACAATTTTATTTTCATATGCCAAAAATGTATAAAAGAACTTAAAAATGTGATGGAATTGAAAATTCATATAAATTCGTATTTTCTCAATATGATATTATTTTTTTTTTATTTAATAAAATGATTATTAGATTTATAAAACAAATAATATATTTGATTTCACTCAAAATTAAATTAAATTCTTCATATTTTATATCTTCTATGTGTATGTATATTGTAACAAGGATCAGTTAAGCTTTTTGGATATGTGTATTATTATTTACATGTTTGTATAATATTTATATAGCAAGGTTGAGTTAAGATGTTTTTTATCGATTTGAAAAATCATTTTGAAATATTTCTTATATTTCTTAAAAATACATTCAGGATAAAAAATTTATTGTTATATTAGAATATTATTATAAATTTTATCGCTTTCTTTAGAAACGAGAATGAGAAAATTAATATGAAGAACAAAAAATTTAAATTATTCTAGATCTGCCATATAAATCAAAATTTAGAATTCATAAAATTCTTGGAAAAAGTTTTCCGCTTATTTATAATTAAATTTGCCCACCTATTCCATTACTATATCAATATCAAAATCATATTTAAGTAGTAAACAACAAATTTTATTATGAAATCTCGCGAATAAACTTAAAAAACCGAAAATGTTTACTATACAGATTTACTTATTCTTTTAACATTTCTAGGATACAATAAAATTGATACCTAGATAAATTGAAATTTTCCAATAAATACGAAATCATATCGATCAATGTCTGCAATTGATGAATGTGACCAATTACGTCTATACTATTATTTTATTAACGTAAATTTGTTCAAGGGTAAAAACTGTTTTCGTAAAAAACAAATAAAATATTTTATGGAAAAATTATTCTCTGAAAAACCAATTTACATCGGTGTGGAAATATGTGAATTTTCATGCTATTTTTTGATTATCTTTATGAAAAAATTCATAAATCTATGAAAAACTCGAATATTAAATTTAGCATATTATAAGTTTTTTTGTCATAACAGGATATCATTTGATTCCCATGTGATCATATTATTATTCTAAAAGGATTCTAATATCAATAATATGAATTATAATTATGTGCATAATATGCTTATTTAAAATATGCTAATTAAATTCAAAGAATTAAAATGTGACGTATATAGAATCAATTGAATTGATGACATCTGATTTATAATATTTTTAAAGTGGTTGTTGTAATAAAATTTTTGATTTAAAATTTAAATTAAGTATTCATAATAATTAATATGTATATATAGATTTATAAAATAATGTCGAATTTTTAATTAAAATAAAAATTTATATAGAAAAATTTATAACTATTGCTCAGAAATTCGAGACAAGAATACAAAATTTGTGTACCTCTGCAAGCTGAATTTGTAAATTACTTAATAAAAATTTTGAATCTAGCGCGTATTAATCAAAAATTTTCATATATATGATTTCATGAGAGCCTCATTCGAATAATATTATTCTGAATAAGTAGAACCTGGCACTTAATATAATAATATTTTAATATGAACATATTTTAAATTTTACTTTCAGTATAATAATAAATAAATAAGTGATCTCACCAAAGAAAATTTATTTTGAGAAAAAACCTGTTGAATTATAAATAATATACTGTTATTTTTTATATAACAATATAGTATTTAAGGGAGAGGAAGATATTTTCTATATATCTACGAATATATTTTCATAGAATGAAATTCCAAAATAAATAATTATCATGTAAATAAAGGACACCTGGAGATATGAACACAATAGCATTTTTCCTTTACGTAATTTTACCATTTACATAAAACATATTTTATGGTAGCATTCTTAAAATAGTAAAAAGTAAAGAAAATTTTAAGAAATATTATATAGGTAATGTTATATTCTTCATTCCTAAAATGTATAAGGTACCCTACCTATATACAAAATTTATAATAATAAATTTTTCAAAAGAAATAAGTAATATAAAGATTTATATTGCTTTAAATTATTCTAAAACGGAAATAAATGATAAAATTTATGATTTTATTAATAATAATGAATTATTATATTACAATATATAATATTATATAAGTATATTAAGTTGTGTTACACATTATAGTATTTATGTTATTAGCATACATGTATATTGTTGTTGTTATATAACAATTTATTAAAAATATATTATGTGTTTAAGAAATTATAATATTATTTTGTAAAATATGCATGACA